TCATCTTCTTCATTATCATTTATTTCATTTTCTATTTCTTTCCTGTCACTATCTTCTGATTCCAAATCTGACTCATCTGTATCATTAAAAAGAATAGCCTCAATTTCTTGTTAAGACTTTTCGATATTTGCACATTTTGATTAAAGCTTGAAAGCACACTGTACCAAACAAGAATCAACAACAAAATGTCATATGCAACCTAAAGATAAGAAACCTCTTAGGACAAGCTGTCTACAGTAAACTGATACAATGCATTTGGGGAAGCCGCACCTGCTACTGCATACCTTAGAGGGGAGGAAAGAAAACAAGATCACAGTCTCGCCTGTTTTCGTGTGGTTGTGGTCATCTGAATGAACAGCCGTGTGGGGCGGTTTGGTCATATAAGATTTAAAAAAAATTTTTTTCTTCTTAAGATTTTTTTAACAAGATTCATGGCACTCCTTTGGCACCTTTCATTTAAAGGCTCCAAATCTGTCTGTAATTTCATAGCAACAATAGGAGTCTATTTGCGCCAACAAGCTGGATATTTTCTCAACATTGTAAAATTGTCTCCTTTATAGTAACAGCACTGATACATATGTTATTTCAATACTGCATTAACAGGTGACAGGAGTGCCTCTGTTGAATTCTTTGTTTTCTCTCGTACATTGGCTGCAATATGGAGACTCCTGGGTTTGCATCAGATGACTTTACTGATGTAAAGGACCTCACAGAGCAGACATGTTAAAATTTTATTGTGAATATAATGACCGTGACCCTGAGCATTTCAGTGACATTTATATACTGAAAGTAATAAAACAGTCATTGGGTTACTTTTTCTATAAGATTTATAAACAACCAGATTTCAAAACTATCAGTGTTAAAGCTTCCAGATGCAGAAACATGTACAGTCCTTTTAGGAATCAACATTTACAAAGACTTAGAAAAGTGATTCTCAACCACTGTGCCATGGCACTTTTGCATGCCGCCAAATTCTTAAAGTGTGTTGCCAAATTTTAGAAATGTATCTAGTAAAAATTATAATGGGTTTAATCTGGTACACATGAAAATAATAATAATGGGTTTAATACAGTACACATGAGAATTGGTGAAATTCGGTTTTTAAGACATTAATAAACACGCCAATTTTGGTATCCAAGCTGATTTTGGTGCCAAATACTTCTGTATTTGAATTAACTTTGAATGAAGAGCAAGAACTAATTTTGCTTTCTAATAATCAAGATTTAATTTTAAAATATTTGGAAGAATCAAATAATTCATTTCTGATTAACATTAGATGTGATTATCCCATGATGGCCAAAAAAGCTTTAAAAATATTATTACAGGTTATTATTTTGTGTTCTACATCTTATTTGTGTGAATTCGGATTTTCAATATTAACCAACATAAAAATGAAAAAAAGATTGAGACTGTTAAATGTAGGAAGATGATATGAGAGTAGCATTGTCATTTTTATGACCAAATATAAAGGAAATCATCAAAGAACATCAAATTTCTCATTAAAAACATTCTTATTATTAACTTGTAATTAATCTTTTAATAAACGTACTGCTGTTTTTGTAGTACATAATTTTTTTTATTTTACATTCAAAATTATTATCATAAACTATTTTACACAGTGTATTATAGGTAAGTAAACAACTTTTAAACTTATCTTTTTCTTTGTGTGCCGCCAAATTTTGAAATCGTTAAATGTGTGCTGCGACCAAAAAAAAAAAAAAAAAAAGGTTGAGAATCACTGGCTTAGAACAAACCATTAGAACATTCAGCATTTTACAGCAATAAAAAATTGGAATCATAAAAATAGATTCTGTTTTGGAACTTATGTAACTATAGGAAATTTGTCCCTTTCTTTTGTGTTTTGATTAATGATGTAGCATAGAAACATTAAGAATGCCATTTTTTAATTTTGTAGTACATGTTACAATGTGGTAATGTTATTTGTAAAACTTAATTTTTGGGGGGTCCATAATTTCTTTTTCATTATTATGAGCCATGAATTTCCAAGGTTCATACATATTATCATAACCACCATAGTAGTAGTTGCCAGATTTTCAAAATGTGCCCAACTGTGGCAACCACATGCATAACCATATTCGAAATAACCATGCTCATAACAATCTTCTGGTCATACAATGTCACCATTTTTGTATGTGTTCTTTTTGTTGTATTCAAAGTTCTAACAGTTTTTATATATAAATTGTGATATATTTTATCTTAAACACAATTTTAAAATAGCACTTGTGGAATTTGCCAGTAATAGAAGAAATTATGCTAAAATTTCTGCAGAAATACAGTATTCTACTGCGATACTTTTGTAGAGAACAACAATGATGAGATGCATTTGGTAAATACTCGATGCACATTGCCAAGTTTGTGTAATTCTCTGATGTAGTTTTTTTAAGTGACAACAGATCACTGTGATTGGAAGAAAAACTGCTGAAAAAATTACAAAAGGATTTGGTGGAAGAAAAAATATAAATGTTTTATTTTTTAAATGTAATTTTTTTAATAATTTTATTTAATAACTCATTTGTATTTTAAATTAAAAGTGTGTTCTCTTCTGATATGTTGATGATACTTTCCAACTTGCAATAAATAGTGATAGCTTGGGAATCTTTTTTTTAAAAGAGTCACGGAAATTGCCATCTTTTACCCAATACATAGCTTTTGCCTCTTCATCCGTAAAAAAAAAAAAAAAAAAAAAAAAGAAAAATGCAGAATGGTGATAAGGTATTCATTAATAGCTTAGTACCCAATATAGTTCAACATTTTGTAGTATTTGATTATTATTATTAACAGAATTCATATGAAGCATTTCGGTAATCTTTGCTCTTAATTCGTCTATTAAGCTTGTGATTCTTGCATTTCAAAACTGAATAAAACTTTAAATATGTAATAAAAAAGTATAACAAAATTGTAATTTATAAATTATATGTGTTTCGAAAGCTTTAAGAGTTAAAAAGAAATTTTATTACTTTATCTTCTATAAGCTACACTTTTATAGCAAAACTAACCATATTTTACAAGACTTTTCTTAAGAAAAAAAATTTTTTTTTTCATTATGCTTTGGAAGAAATAAAAAAGTTACCATGGTAGGAACTTGTTTGCTTGGGCTTGAATAATTGTAACAGTAAACTAATAAAATGTGAAATAAAGTGTTGATGCCACTAAGTATCTGATAAAATACTCAATAATGAATTACTTTTTTGAAGCCTTTTGATTGAATCTAGTGATTATTGTTAGACTGGGGGTTATTACCTTATTTTTGTCTATATTATTATAGACACTTTGTCTATAGTATTATAAACAAAGTGTAATCAATCTTATTGTGTCAGTCAGAGCTGCATATTAAAATTTAAAAAATTCTGAAGCCAGAATAAATTTTCTAAAAGCTGAAGCTATTGTTTATTCATGATTCTATTCTACAGGTTTATTCATGATTCTTTAAATAATAAATCCAGATAGACAGGAAGAAATGTATAATTTATTATTAAAAAATTCTGTACTTTTGCATTATCTGCCCAACCTACCCTCAAAGTGGCCAATCAATGGTGATGAGCTTTCACAAAATTGAAGCTTAAAGAAAGTAGTCATTTTTCAAAAAATTGTGTCACACTGAAAGAAATTAAAAATGCAAGAAATATCTGTAATGAAGCGTGGAAAATGACTTCAAGCAAACATCTAAATGACCTACTCAAAATTGCGTAAAATAGCAATGAATTAACTAAAAACGTTCATAATAAAAGAATGAAATTTCTATTTTCCAGTCTTCTGTCTGTGTGCATAGCAATCTATTTTAACTTGGAAAAATCAGAGAATTGCAAAATTCTCAACATTTTAGAGCAAATTAGCACTACTCTCTATGCACATATTGATCTGTTTTAACTTTAAAAAAAGAATCAGACTTGCTCAGATTAACTTCACGGAAAGCACATTCATACTACTATTTTTACTACTAGGAAAAATGCTGTATTTCTGAAAAAATACAATTTTCATTAGCAAGCAAACTCCACTATGGCATTATGATTTGTTACAAGAAAAAAAACTCCACATGCTAATCATAACAAGCAGAAACCACAAACCCTTGAATTTTGAAACCATATGCATTACCACCACCGAGATAGATGATGGCATTGCACACTGGTGTAATGCACACACAACTACTATTAGTGGGTCAAAATTCTAGGTTTCCTACTTTGGACACATAGCACTTTGCCCATTGGTTCTTCTGAGTTTTGGGTGGGTAATGCATAACACACAATAAATAGCACATATAGCAGATTAAATAGCTCAAAAAGAATACAAATATGAAGCAATTTCTCCTTAGTGCAGGAAAAATTTCTTAAGTTCTACAAATCACTCTCATGCTAAATCCTAAATCATAATTAAGCTAACTGCTAAATCCCGCGGCTGATTGAGAACTGACTTTACTAGCTCTCTGATGAACTGACTTCCTAGCTTCCTAGCTCATATTTATATGCTACAGCAAGGGCTCTGGAAACTTCTGGAAGAATCAGCCCCTGTAGGGCTTTAAATATGTGCTTTTTGTGAATCTTCCAAAAAGTTGCCAACTTGGTAAAACAGGTTATTGTGGAACCTGCCAGGAACAAATTTGCTCATATCTTGCATTTTACATGAGTTGTTTTTGTAATTCAGATGTTATTGCACTCAGAGCTGAATGATCTGCAATGCACAGCATTGCAACTATATAGAAAAACAAAACTACAATCAAAAAGGGTTTAAGTATTTACAAATATTTATAACACTATGCAACTAGATATTGTTTTATGTTGCATACCAGAGTATAATTTGTGGGTCATCTTTTTCAAAAATGTCAGTGTGATAATTTATTATATTCTCTGCAGAAGTAGTTCATTCAATTCTGTCTTATATTTCTTAATGTGTTTGAATTATTTAATGTAACTAATTTGTTTGAATTGCTATATTCTAATGTGTTTGAATAATAATTTAACTTGTAATATTTTTTCTGTGTGCAGCTGTCAAACAAACAGTGCTGTCAAACAAACAACTACCAGTGATGAAAGTGATGATGAGGTATGTTTTCATCTTCTGAATTTTGTATCTAAAATTTCATTATAATTGGAATTTACAAAATATTTTTTTTTAGCAGGTTTCTTGGGAAGATGGTGAAGCAGATGAAGCTGAGGTTTGTCTTCTGTTAATGTGTAATTCTTTTTTGTTTGTTATGATTTTTAATGACATTTCAGAGTAACTAATAATCAGCTATCTGATATTTATTTAATCACTGAACCATTATTGTAGATGTGAATTTACAGCTTGTGTCCAGAAATAAGTGTACAATTCATAATTTTTTAAAGAAAACTTAAAGAAAACAAACCACTTTCAAGGAATAGATGTCAGATATGACAGCTGCAATGTAACAAGCTGATTTTTTTGGCAAACAATTATATTATTATATAATTTATAAATTAGAAGTGCATTTTATTTGAAACACTTTTTTCTTTCTCTCAGGAAAATTTCAGACTCTTTTTTTATATAAATATGGGTGACAGTAATAGGTTTTATATAAATATGATATTAATATTTATATAAACATATTATATATATATGTATATATATTATATAAACATAATTAATATATATATATATATATATATAATATTTTTTATATAAATATGTTTCAGACACAAATTTTGAGAAACCCAATTTGCCTCAAAATAACAAGCTCAATAGCACGCATTACTAAAACTTATTGAGAAGGATAAACTTAACTTGATTTTTTTCAAAATTGTTGACAATACTGTGACATGAATCTTGTGTCAGAAACAAAAGATGTATCTTTAAAATACAATGTATTTTTTATATAAAAATTATTTAAGAATCCATATTAACTGTCAATAATTATATAACATATTAAACTTTAAAATACCATTAGACTTTTAAAAATTTTATTTCATTGAGGAATTGTAATAAATTTAGAGGTGAGAAGAATGTTTCTTTTATTACAATAAAATATAGTTATTTTTCGTGTTACAGATTAAATTGTAGATATAAATGAACATAAAATTGTTAAGAAAGTTCAAAAATTCATATTTGAAAACAGTCTAGTATGGAGTATAAAATTATTGGAAATATCCTTAAGATAAAGGAAGTTAAATGGTAAGTTCTTAAAATGGAAGTTTGTTTTCCGCAGTGTGCTGCCATTTGTATATTTCCACTTCAGAGGCAAAATTTGGTTTGTAGTAAGACAACATTGTATATAAATTTTGAAACCTTGAGTAAATTATTGAAGCATTTCTTTTTATTTACACTCATGTACAAAATTAAGAAAATTTTCGCATTTATTGAATTTCTCAAAAAATTAATGGACAGATTTTAATGAAATTTGGTATGAATATACATTTATAACAGAGAAAGAGATGTACCATTCAAAAATAATTTTATGTACACATGAGTATCAGTAATGCTCATAGCACAGGGATGTCCAAAACCCACGCTGTGATATTGAACTGAAAATTAGTCTAATATGGGGTATGGTCCCCTCTCACAGCCAGACAGGTCATGTAGATTGATGGCATATTGGACAGGAAGCAGACAAAGAGTTCCTGTTGCAGTCAATTCCACTCCTGCAGCAAGGCAGTTTTCAACTTTGGGATGGTTCTCAAAGGGAAATGGTGAGATGAAATTGCCCTCCCAAGAGCATTCCCAACATGATGTATAGGAACTAATACAGTTAATTGATCATGATGTATAGGAACTAATACTAATAATTGATGTGCCTAGCCAATCCATGTGGCAAATATCCTCACTTTCCAGGTAATCATCATCCAGCTAAACTCTGTCTGAGTGAGAGTTGTTGCTCATTAACACTAACCCAGGACCAAGTGACCTTCACCAGGTAATGATACTTTTCTTTGATGAGGGGATGGATGATATCATGTTCCAGGCTCTCTCCAGGTACAGGTATGTTGAGAATTAGTGTCCAGACTAAATCTGAACTCATCTGCAAAGAGCACAGTGCTTGGCTGGTACAAGAAGCATGTAGCCTTCACCATGCTAAACATGCTGTTTTGTGTGCTGATGCAAGTGAAATGTGAACAGCAGGCATTCTGGCATACAGCCATATCTCATGAAGCCTTCGGGCAACATGTGAATGTTATGAAGCTGTAGCAATTCTGTGTCATTGCACTGAAAATGCCAAATAACGATCTTTTTTGTCATCAATCTTGGTCTTCTCGATATGAATCCAGTGTCCTGCAACTGTTTTCACAAATTGCAACGACACGGGTATTACACTAAGTTCTGTAACCATCTGCACTTGTGACTGACCTACTTCCAATCTGCCAACAATTCTTCGTCTCATTCCTGAAACATTGTAAAATGTACCCAATTCTTGCAAGAAACACAGCTAATGTTATTGAAGGGGTATGAGCACACAGTCACAGCTTCGCAGACACACACATATGCAGTTATGTACTCGGCTGTGAATATTTTGCATAATTCTTTTGTGGCATAATTATTGTCTTTTCTTCAGTACGTTTTGGGCATAATTTGCAAATTCTCTTAAATTGGCACAAGAATGTATATTTCTGGAAAGGATTTAAAAAAAAAAGTACAGAATTACAAAATTTTATTTGTATTTTATTTTATGTTTAATTTAGTATAATCTATTCTGATAGTCAATTTAAAATATTTCTTTTCTAGGCTCCACATTTCTCTGAATTTGATGCAAGAATAAAATATGCTATAGAGTCTCTAGGTGGGAAAGTGTTCCCAAAGCTGAATTGGAGTAGTCCTCGTGATGCCTCTTGGATTGCATTTAATAATTGTTGCTGCTGTACTACTGTTTCTGATATCTACTTACTGCTGAAAAGCTCTGATTTTATAGTTTATGACCTTACAAAAGTGTGAGCATCTGTTAATATATTTTATGTTACGTTAAACGTTAAAATTTTATCTGCTGGAATTTGTATATTACTTTTATTAGCCACAGTGAGTGAGAATTTGTTCTTTTGTGTTTATAATTCATTTCTTTTTATTACAGATTCTCTCACTGTGAAGATTTTATAAATTCTAATGATTTAAATAGAAGAGAAAATGGTCCATATTATCTTGTTTTACGAAAATGGATTGATATAGATACATCAGGAGAATATAGATGTTTTGTGAAAGATAATTCACTGATAGGTAATTTTAGCTGTTTGAGTTTTTCATGTTAAATAAATATGGGCTCTGAAATAAGTAAATAAATGAAAGTAAAATTTAAAAATACATTAATAGAATATCAGTATTTTATTTACATTAATTTCAGTATTTAAAACAATGAGGAAAGATGCTTACTTAGTATGTGTAATGAGTTACAATTAATTAGAACAGTTTGTAACCACAGTGTCTTATTAAATAGTTGCTCTGTCTATCTGAAAATTGTGTATTAAATTTAAGAAAATATAAAAAGCTAAGCTAATAGTCAGCAAAAGTAATTTGATTAGTTTCTGTAACAAAGGAACGTGAAGTTGGAATTTAACAGTAAAAGATTTTCTCCGCTTAAAATGTGTCACTTTACATTTTGTATAGAATAAATATAGTGTTTTTTTCTGGAGGAAGAGTTTGATTTCTCATTTTCCAAGAAATTTCTCAAAAAGAAGAAGCTTCTATATAAAATCTGTAAAATTTATAAAACCATATGAAGCAAGAAATTGGTATTGGAAAATAGTTTAAAGGGAATTCTGACTTTGAAAGACTTTGAAGATGTTCAGATGTGAAGAAACAGTTGCAGATACTGAACAGATTGTAAATATATTTAAACTTTTAGCATGATTGATAGGAATATCCAACATGTGTTTTATGTAAAGATTTTTGGGAAATTAAATTTTACTTCTGGGGGAATGGAGTGGAAGAGCTTGCTGATTTTTATTTTTTTTTTTTTTTTTTTTTTAGTTTGTTGGGTTTTAATTAATATTAATAAAACTATTTTACATTTTAAATTTCTTTGTGATATAATACATATTTTCCTATTTGCCATTTTGGTTTGTTTCAACAAGAATTGCACTAATCACTTGTTTTGCTACCTCTACCCCTTCTGAAACAAACAATATAATCCCCTTTTTTAAATTTTTCTCATTTTATGAAGACTAAGCATTTGGCCTTGTTACATGAAATGCTGTTTCATTATAAAACATAGTATCTAATCTTTAGTACGACCATTTCATGACTATAAGCTCACTGCATTGGATTGGATTTATGTGATTTAGTAGGAGTTGATATCAGGGCACATATGCAGTAAATATTTTTTGTAATCTAAGTAATCTGCTAATTTAAGCTTGTAGTCCATAAATACAGTTAGTTAATATACATAATCACAGAATAATTGAATAAAAACTACTATGTTTTCATGTTTGTTTCACGAGTTAACCAAGGTATAACATAAAAAGACTGTGCTATACTTGGTCTTGTTCAGTTTAACAGTTCTGTTTAATTGTGAATAAATCTTCATAACTCCTTTATAAAAGTTACTTTTTTTAATGAACTTTCTGCTAATACTATATCAGCCCATTTCTGTTAATTAATTTCACCATGACTTTCAGTCAAACACACTTTTGTCTTGTTGTATTAATTAAAATAATGCACATTTCACCATCTTGGTCAATCAACCATTTTGGTCGATCATCCAAAATCTTCTGCATCTCTAACCACTCTCCCTTTAATCCTATGAAGCCTGATGTAGGGTTACCAGTTGGTACTTGTCTTCTGTAGTGGTCTAGGTGAAAGAAAGCTTATTTGGCACATTTCTGCATTGGGGAGGAATAAATAGTTACCAATCTATGCATGCAAGAACAGATATTGATCTGAGCATGTGAGAAAGAAACAATTCTTATATATATGCGACTTAAGTGTTTGTCGCCGATAGTTTATTGGTTACTTGCGTAACTGTAAATTGTTTCATTCCTCGTGCAGTGCGTGACGAATATTATGAGAAAGCTAAGCCGGAAAAATTAAAAATACAAGAGCACGTGCATTTAACATTTAACAAATAAGTTTAACTTCTGTTTGTCACCGATAGATTATTGTTTGCTTGCATAACTGTAAATTGTTTTATTCCCTGTGCAGTGCAGCGCGTGATGAATATTATGAGAAAGCTAAGCCAGAAAAATTAAAAATACAAGAGCACATGCATTTAACATTTAATAAATAAATTCAACATTTATATATAATAGAATTCGGAATATGCAACTGGCAACAATGAAGAAACAAATAAAATGAAATAAATAAATATCTTTATTATATCTGGCTTAAGTGTATGTTTGTCGCCAATAGTTTATTGGCTGCTTGCGTAACTGTACTAGCCAATGGGGTGAAGTTGCCACGGCACAGGGTTGCCATTTCAATTGACATGTAGACAATTTCCTGTAAAAGCCTTTGCTATGACCATCAATAAGTCTCGGTAAAACGCTTAAGCATGTTGGCATTTTTTTACCTGAGCCTGCATTTGGACACGGTCAACTTTATGTTGCCTGTTCAAGAGTTCATGAAAGAACAGACATAAAATTAAAAATAATTGATGGTCCTTTGCAAGGCGAGCTTAAAAATGCTGGAAAGATCTACACAAGAAATGTTGTGTTCAAAGAGATCTTTGACATGTGAATTAACATTTTATTATTTTATTTATTGAGTTAGAGGTGGCTCTTAAGAAATGTACCGCCAGTGGTTTCCTTCATTGCACTCTACTTTAAGCAAGTAGAAGGGGGAAACCCCGTATGGGGCAGTAAGCAAAGGAGCGTCCGCGCTGCCTGCACTGGGTAATTCAGTTTGAATTAGCAGACACCTTTGCGCAAATTATTTTAATTACAATTTATAATATCTAGAACAGCGGTCATTTTGTATGACCGCCGGGCTTTGTAATGATGATATAACTGGATTTTGTTTAAATACGTAGTGTCAATATAACAATTTTTCATTATGAAACTCTCATTATGCTTACTATTTAAAACAAAAAATGTAAGCTATAGTTTATGTTTGAGGCATTATTAGCAGCAGTTGCTGAACTGTGGCCACCGGAAAGAGTTAATAAAAAATTAATTTTTTGGAATGTTTATATATATATATTTAATAAATTTGTAATAAAATTATATGGAATAAAATAATAAGCAGCGTTTTCCAGAATTTTTAATAGGGGAAAAAAACTGAAACTTTTCAGGTTTTATGGCTTTTTTTAATATTTTGTGTGTTACCTTTATTTATTAAATATCATGTTCTTCGCATTTAAACCATAAAATTCAATTCAACAGCAATATCACAAAATAATTTTAAAATGAGCATATCTTTAGAATTTCCGATGCACAGTCTCAAGTGCTGGAGATAAAAAAAATTTTTTTTTTTTTTCAATGCAGTGTTGCCATTGCTCGCTTTGAAAACATTGAGTTTCTTAATCAAAAACTCATAAATGCTTTACAAAATATAAAATAGATAATAAAACAAATTCAAACTTTGGGCTCCCAGATGACCATATTCGAGTGGAGAGTTACGTTATTTAAAATTGGATGGCTCTAGGTACCGTTGTTTTATCACAATGTGAGAACCATACATATATTTATGCAGATTCTTCATTTTTTTATTTCTTTAAATATAATACAGGGCTCTAATATTTGGTAGAAACAATTTAAAAAGTTATTCGCCATTTATGGTGAATTAGCGCAAAATACCAAAATGAAATTAATAGTCCTTCTGGGTAAATTGCCCCTTTAGACTAATAAAGTCAGACATGTTTATATGTATAGCACCTAATTATTTTGGATTTTGTGGAAGAGAACTAATTCTCTTTAATAAGTATGTTTTCTTCCTCAGAGTCAGCAATAATTAACTCTCTTTAATATTCTTTGGTATTTTTACTTATGTATTTTCTGTAATTTGAGGTTTTTGAGGATTTCTAGTACAGTTTTAATCTTCTACTAAGACTATTACATTTTTTCAATAGTTTTCTCTCAGTCTTCTGAATTAACTTTTAATATATTCAATTTACAATAGTTTTTACTCCTCATTTCTTAAGAGATAATTATAAATAAAAATTAATCATTATATTTGTGTGTGGTATATGTTGTTATTTTATATAAATTGCTTACATACTAGTTGTATTGAATGTAATAATTGATGCAGAGATTACATAAGTTTGTTGAATTATGTTATTATTTTAATAAAATTACTGACAACATTATATTAAGTAAAGAGCAAAGAGAAACACAGCACAGTAAACATAAAATTAGACAGTTCACTATACATTGGCTGCAAAGTAACAACTTCCAATTCATTGCGTACCACGGCGTTTCTCCACCCCCCCCCCCCCAGCCGCAAAGCAGCGTGAAATTGATAAACAGATTTCGGATTTCAAAACATACTTTCGTTTTGTCGATCCTTTACATATTAGTAAATATATATCGTAAATTCTATTAGAAATAATCGAAAGTTCAAGCTTACTTTTATAAAACTGCTCTAACATTCTGCAAAAAATAATAAGCCGGATCCAATTCGAAGATTAAGGAACAATGCAATCTGCAACATTAACTGAATTAGATAATTTTAGCTTAGCTTATACCATCCGTTATACATTAAACGCGCAGGCGTAAACGTATTATACGCTTGCGCACACGTATATTCGCAGCAGTAAAGGTCTTACACGCACGGGTAAACGCCTATGCGTCATCGCGACGCATGCACAGAAAGTTTGTAGCTTTGAGGTCCAGATTATAGATCATTCCCGATTATGGGTGTCCGAATTAACGACTTTTGACTATACAACATAAAATCAGACAACAACTTTGTGTATGGCAGCCAATGTATAGTGAACAGAAGCACAAAAGGAACAAATGCAATGCAACCAATCTATGTCACACACAAAGTTGTTGTCTGATTTTATGTTGTACAGTCAAAAGTCGTTAATTCGGACACCCATAATCGGGAATGATCTATAATCTGGACCTCAAAGCTACAAACTTTCTGTGCATGCGTTGCGATGACGCATAGGCGTTTACGCGTGCGCGTAAGACCTTTACTGCTGAATATGTGTGTGCGCAAGCGTATAATACGTTTACGCCTGCGCATTTAATGTATAACGGATGGTATAAGCTAAGCTAAAATTATCTAATTCAGTTAATGTTGCAGATTGCGTTGTTCCTTAATCTTCGAATTGGATCCGGCTTATTATTTTTTGCAGAATGTTAGAGCAGTTTTATAAAAGTAAGCTTGAACTTTCGATTATTTCTAATAGAACTTCCGATGTATATTTACTAATATGTAAAGGATCGACAAAACGAAAGTATGTTTTGAAATCCGAAATCTGTTTATCAATTTCACGCTGCTTTGCGGCAAGGGGGGGGAGAAACGCCGTGGTACGCAATGAATTGGAAGTTGTTCTGTCAGCACTATCCTTATCTTCAGGGCAGATGTTTTTATTTTGATTGGCTTATAATTTTTTTACTAAATGTAGTATTTCATCTCGATGTACTTTGTCTTTGTTATGATTTAAATCAAGTTCCTCGTCATTATAATTCGCTTCCGATAATGAAGAAAGTGAGAGAGGGGTTATTGAAAACGAAAACATTTCGATTGACAAATTAGTCGGTATTCTCGACACAGCAATTGTAGGACTTGAACAGCAGAAATTTGTAACTAAACAAGAAATTATGTCTATTTAATAGAATTAAAGAGAAAGTATTGTCACATGAAATGAAGCAACTTAAACAACTTACATTGAAAGAAATGTTTAATAAAGTAAACAAATAAATATTAAGCTTTTTCTTTTTGTAAATTTTGATACCCTTTAGATCATAATTGTTCTTTATTTCATAAATTACGGTTTCATATTTTTAATTTTGTAATTTCTGCATGCCATCTTACCAGATTTAAACTGATGATCTATAATTTGGAAAAATCGGTAATCCGGAATCGCTGAAGTCCCGACGAGTCCGGATTAACGACTTTTGACTGTATAAAATACTATAATAAATACAAATTTTTGTTAAATTTCATCTCTATGTATATTAGATAATTTGTATTATATAGATATTAAATGAATTGGCAGTTCATCATTTACTATAGTCAGTTTTGTTTTCATAGATGTTTACAGCATGTGGCACCAAATCGCACTTTCTTAAGCCTGAATTGTGGCAACATTGTTTTCTGTCACCAAAGCCTTTACAGAAGACAAGCACAAACCAGTCTTCTTTTTCTTCACTCTGAGATTTAATTAATTAAATTACTAATTGAGGCATTAGGCATTAATTTCCCCCACAAGTATCTGGGTTGTTAAGACTTCTGCTGTAATGTATAGAGACTATAAAACAGTTATTTCTAGCAGAGCAAATTTGAAACTGTTGTATAGGCTGTCATGATGATCTGTTTCTGATTCTTCCTTCAGAATACATCATTGATTATGATAAGTAAGACTTTCTTTAAGCCTGATTTTGTTCTAAAATTTTCCTTTTATTCTTATTTAAAATTTACAAACCTAAAGTTGTCAGCTTATTTACAGACTTCTCAAATATTCAATATATAAACATTTTTGCAGCTGCATACATATTTTTTAATTTTGAACTATTGCAATTTAACAAAATTAACTGGAATGAAAGTGCCGCATGCAACTTATTCTTTTGGCTTATTTAATCTTAAGAATGCACTTTCAAACTAAGAATACATTTCTGTTTGTAGTGTAAATTTTTATATTTATTGACAGAATCTTGTGTCATTACGATGAACTGTCGTTCTGTTGTCAGAACTGTTCTGTCTGAGTAAATGTTAATTTTTTTCACCCTTATCATTTTATATATTTTGGTAAGTAAGTAAATAATTTTAATACTGAATTTCATGTTTTGAATGCTTTCAACTATTATTAAAGATTTATTTCTTTGCTTAATGTGCATGAATATAACAGTTTTCGAGAACTTGCATGTGGATTTTCTGGTATCCAAAGAAGTGTAAAGCATATTTTACAGGTTTACATATATTAAGCTTTGAAATCAAAACAATTTTTAAATTGTTGTTGACATGCAGACATAATGCCAGTAAACTAGTTTTATAGCTAGGAATTATTTGGCATATGCTTTTGTAATATAGAGAAAAAAAATTACAATTTTTTCTTTTAACTGCATAAATCTGTCATGCATTTATATTTTGATTAGTATAACTTATAGGCATTTTGTTTTACTTACTTATGAAAACTCAATTTTCATTATGTATCTGGTTGTAATGAACGTTTTCCGCCAAAAAATTTTCTAGGAGAACAAAACATGAAAGCAGTACCTTTAGTACAGGTATTAATCACCATCCAAATGTATGATTTTCTGCCAATGTTTTGGTAGTTTTTCAAGGCCTTTAGCCCAGAAACTTGATGGCTATGAGTCCAGAAGCAGATCAACCTCATTTCGGGCATTCTGTGCAGAATGGAAAATAGCACCAGCAAGATGTAGCTGCAGGTGTTAAGAAAAGTAGAAGTCTGAAGGAGTGATGTTTGGGCTATATGGTGGGTGTGGCAAAAGATCCCATACGAGTCTGTACAGAGTCCAGCTGGTAAATGCAAACATATGTGGTCTTGCATTATCTTGATGGAACATTACCTTTTTGTGCCAAAACTCACTTTGATGTTTTTCTTTGATAGCAGCATCAACATGGACTAGCATCTCGCTGTACATCTTACTGTTGAGGGTTTTACCTTTTCCCAGATAATTTTCTAGATAACATCATGGCATTCCCACCAGATGCAAAGCATGATTTTTTTCTTAACCAAATTGTGCTTTGCAACGCTACCGACAGGCTCAGTGGACACATATGAACCCTCTTTCCAGCCTGTGTTTTTGAAGTAAATCCACTTTTCATCACAATGATGATCCGGTCTGGAAATTTGTCCTTGTGTTGATATTCAAGTAGATTAGTGCAGGCCCAAACATGTCTGTCCTTATCTGCTTGAGTCAGCTCATGTGGCAACCAGCGACTGAACTTATACATCAAGTTTATGCAATTCCTAACATGATCAATGGACATAGCACTAATGTCTAACTCCTTAGCAAGCTCTTAAGTGGTTGCATACTGATCTTCTTCCACAAGTTCTCACAGGCGGGCCTCATCAACATCAGTAGGCCAGCCAGAGCATTCTGCTTTATGAACGTCATAGTCCTTGTTTTTGAACTTTCGGTACTAAACCTTCACAGTATCATATGATACAACGTGAACACCTAAAGCTATATGCCTAAAGCTGCAAGCCGTTGGTGACATTCTGTAGTTGATGTTTTGCAACAGAATTGGAATTAAATGATGGTTCTAATCTGGTAGTGTGATAGTTCCATTTAAGACTCCTTGTACTTAATAATAATGATGTTTGTTTACAAATTTCACAACACAGTATTCTAAAGCTAGTCTCTTTCTTTCAAATACCAAAAATCATTTGACAAAATATGATTAAACAGGCTAATGCGAACTGTATGTACAGACAAGATTTGCAGTGGTGGAAAACTTTTGTTAAAACCCGATATATCAGTTGTTAATATAGTATCATTTTGGTTTATGCATTAAGTAGAAATATATCAGTTTAAGTATAAAAATTTCTTCTTTGTAGGTATTAGTCAAAGAGAGCACAGCTTATATTTTCATCATATTAATAATGAAAAGGAGGAAATAGTTGAAGATATTAATAATTTTTTTATACAGCACATTCAATCTAAATTTCCTTGCTCAAACTGTGAGTATCTTTTATTGAAAATATATATTCAGTGTGTTTAAAACATTTGTATTTCTAATTCAATAATATATTTTCTAAAACTTGAAAGTAGTGCATTAGTAGAATGTATAGGTCATTTCAGAATAATTGTATAGCTAAGTATCTCTTGAATACCTAGTTGTTGTTGATATATTCCTTCAGTTTAAGTAGAGAATCATATGAAATAAGCTCTCAGACTGTTGCAATTTTGGTCTCATGATATCTTTTAGTTGAATATGTAAAATGGTACATATGTATTAATGCAACCACCTTAGCCTAGTTGAATTTTTTTCCAAATGAAAAAAAAAAAAAAAAAAAAGATGATATAAGCCGTCTTTAAATTCATTTGCAAAAATTTACTTATAATCTTTACATTTTGTTAATGTATTTATTTCATAATTAAGTCAATAAATCTACTTGCAAACTGGTTTTTCTTTCTTTTTTGTAGTGGAAATTTCTTGGTAATCATTTAACAGGTAAGGTATAAAAAGGCAGGACACTAGAGTTTCACCACAGTTCATACAAGTATAGTCCTACCACATTAACTATGCAACTGCACCACTGTTTTCATGGAGAACACCATGGAGGCAGCTCTATGGTCTCCCAGCTGTCTTTCCCAAGCACTAATCATTCAAGAGGACTTTTGGCTCATTGTGTATTTTAAATGCTTCCTTGCTGTACAGACACCATGCACTTACAAACATCTATGCCTTTCTCCTGTATCTCTTTAACAACAGATATCCTCTTTATGAGTCTTTCTGCAAAATACTGTATGCTTGGAGAAATTTTATTGCAGTTTCTTCCATTGCTTGCAAATTCCTCAGGCACAGATTCTAACACTGAATTTATGACAAAAAATATAATGATTTCTGTTAAATTGGAACTTGGAATATAACAAAAAGAACACATACAAAAACAACAATATTGTTAACCTGAATTTTATGTATTGTAATTGTTTTCTTGTACATACCTCAGTGTTATACTTAATCCTTTCCGGACGGGCATCCCATATACACGTTCCCTTGGAATGTCTCTCGTAACCGCATGTCCCACCCACACATCACTGGAGAATGCATATAAGGGATGTGTGATGTCTATATACATTTCAGGCTGAAACAATTTTCAGATACCGCTAGATGTCATTCTGTGTACGTTACTTTTGAGCTTAATATAGTTTTAGAATCCTGACCTTCAATTTCTGCATTACATTGGTGTCAGCTGTTGCGGGGGAGGGAGGGGAAGCGTAATGTAAACAAACAGTGTTTGGGCTCTTTAACTCACCACATGATTCACGCTTCTTATATCCCTTTGATTCACGTTTTTATTCTTTTTTACTGCTGTATAGGTTTACTATGTGGGGTTCTATAATACTTTGCATTGCTTTTATCGTTTATATTTTTTTCCCTTTCTTTTTATTTCGAAAGCTTTGACTTCAGATTATTATAGGAAGCAAGCATTATTTATCAAAGGGCAGGTATACTTACATGGTAAATGAGGCAATTAGTGACATGGATGAGAATGATGATTCATTTTCTAAAGAGTTAGAGAGTGATATTTTAGTGTTTCTCGTAGAGACATTTTGACAGAGACTGAACTCACTGAGTGTCTGCCTTCCTCTTTCCATGAAAGATTTTGTTACTTCTTCTTATAAAGAGTCTTTCTTAATTTTTTTTATTAACTTTAAAGTTTATTAATGTATTTTGGCAATTAAAATTTTGGTATAATTTGAACAGTGCTTCCAAAAATTTGGTGAAAGTTCTGGGGGCCTTGCTGGCCAAGGAAGAGTATCAACCTTACGGAGACAGTCCAGAAATATGTGAGCGGTATGTAGCCTGGCATTATCTTGTTGGAAAATGGCCCCAGGATGATGTGCCATGAAGGATAATGCTACCAGTCGCAGGATGGTATCAAATTATCATTAAGCTGTTAAAGATGTATGGAGGATGACTAAAAATTATTTGCTGTCATAAGAAACAGCACTCCACACCATCACACTAGGAGTATGGCTGTATGCCTTTGTGAAACAAAGGCTGATTGGGACTGCTGGCCCTGTCCTCTCCAGACATGAACACGGTGGTCATCTTCTTCAAGAGTGAAGTGGTATTCATTGCTGAACACTGTCTGATGGCAGCCATGATGATCAGCTGCGACACACTCCAGACGACTTCGTCAATATTGTGGGGTCAAAGGCAAATGTCTTAAAGGCCTCTGTGAGCATGACCACCTCTCCTCAGACAAGTGCCATGAGATGGTGGACAGTACCACGGGAGGTTGAATAGTTGACAGTGATACTGTCGGGGCGGTTCAGGCCTGGCGAACAATCATCCCATCTTGCCTCGCTTTTGTGATCCTTGGCTTTCCAGAGCCTTCGTTTCATTGGCAATTTCCTTGTAGCAACCATTGCTGCCAACATCTTTGCACAACAGTGTCGTGACACTGCAGGTGGCGCCCTATTGTGTGGTATGACCACCCAGCTTTATGCAACCCTACAATACAACCACGTTCAAAGTCGTTTAGTTGCCTGTAATGTCTTTGATATCATCATAATGGCATCTTTAGTTGCTTCTTTACGGAATTAAATGACAGCAACAAAAAAAGATAAATTTTCCGCCTCTGTTATTGGTTTTATATTTTGCGAATTGCACACTAGAAATGCGCGCTATGATCGCAATTCCTGTTCATTTGTCTTGAAACTTTGATCATTTACATGTTTAATCAAGATGTTTTTGCATACCAAATTTCGTCACGATTGCAGAAGTCCTTCTTGGTGCTTCGATTTTTTTGCAAAAGAGTGTAGTTCCAAAAGTTCTGAAGTTAGGAGGAATTGCACTTTTTTTTTTTTTTTTGTGAATTTTTTTTTTCTAAAGTAAGTCTTAGCAGCGTTGCAAATTACCATTCTGTGGGACGATTCCTTTTGACTTCCATCCATCCACAGGGAGCATCTTAAAAAACATGCGCAATCTCAAAAGCAAAGTGCTATCGGCATGTATTTTAAGTGCTTCCTTGCTGCACAGACGTTATGCACTTACTAACGTCTATGCCTTTTTCCTGAATTTGATCCCTTTAATAACAGATTCGTATCAATTCTTTACCAATCTCGCTTCAAAATACTGTATGCGTGGAGAAATTTTACTACAGTTTCTGCCATTGCTGCCAAATTTGTCAAGCACAGATTTTTAACTCTGAGTTTAAGAAAACAAATATTATGATTTGCCTATATAAATTTAAATTTGGAATGCAACAAAAAAGAACAAATATAAAAATAATGACATGGCTAACCTTGAGAATAGTTATGAGTATTGTTGCCTGAAGAATTCTTATGTACATGGATGCCAGAGTTGGGCATATTCTGGAAATTTAGTGACCTCTGCTAAGATGGATTTAATAATACATAAGTACAGTCAAAAGTCGTTAATCCGGACTCGTCCGGACTTCGGCGATTCCGGATCATCGATTTTTCCGGATTATAGATCATCAGTTTAAATCTGGTAAGATGGCATGCAGAAATCATAAAATTAAAAATATGAAACCATAATTTATGAAATAAAGAACGGTTATGATCTAAAGGGTATCAAAATTTACAAAAAAAAAAAAAAAAAAAAAAGCTTAATATTTATTTTGTTTTACTTTATTAAACATTTCTTTCAATGTAAGTTGTTTCGTTTTTTATGTGATAATACATTTTCTTTAATTCTATAAACAGACATAATTTCTTGTTCTGTTACAAAGTTCCGCTGTTCAAGTCCTATAATTGCTGTGTCGAGAATACCGACTAATTTGTCAATCGAAATTTTTTCGTTTTCAATAACCTCTGTCACTTTCTTCGCTATCGGAAGTGAATTATAATGACGACGGATTTGATTTAAATCATATCAAAGACGGACTACATCGAGATGAAATACTACATTTAGTAAGGAATTATAAGCTAAATAAAATAAAAACATCTGCCCTGAAGATAAGGATAGTGCTGATAGATCAACTTCCAATTCATTGCGCGCCGCCGCGTTAAAGATAAACAAAGTTTAGATAAACAAACGTTAAAGTTTAGATAAACAAAGGATATGCCTTTATCCATTTTTTGTATCAATTCTATTTTTTCTTTAATGGACTTCGAAAGACACTTTTACGCTTTGTAGATCCTTTACATATTAGTAAATATATATCAGAAATTCTATTTGACATAATCGAAAGTTCAAGCTTACTTTTATAAAATTGCTCTAACAGTCTGCAAAAAATAATAAGCCGAATCCAATTTGAAGATTAAGGTACAGCGCAATCTGCAACATAACTGAATTAGATAATTTTAGCTTAGCTTATACCGTCTTTTATACAGTAAACGCGCATTCGTAAACGTTTTTTGCACACATGCACACGGATATTTGCAGCCGTTCGATGCATGCTCAGAAAGTTTGTAGCTTTGAGGTCTGGATTATAGATCATTCCGGATTATGGGGGTCCGAATTAACGACTTTTGACTGTACTTATAAAATATAAATTATTTTATGATATTCCTATAAAAATGCTTGAATTGCTTTTTTTAATAGTAACCAGCCGCACTTTTTTCCATAGTTATTCATACTATGGAAAATTTATTCTGAAAGTGAATTTGGTATTGGCATTTTAAGATCATATAAAAACTAAATTCTCTTACATTAAATTTTCTTTTATATCTTTTTTTTAAACAAAAGATAGCTATAACATTTATTGGAAATAATTTCATTACAAACTAACATTACTTTATGCCATTTACCTATGCAGAAAATTTGAAATATCAAAGAAAATCAGCAATCAAAGATATAAAAGTAGCATTTAACAAATAAGTGACATATTCACTTTGATTAATAGAATTAAAAATTCAGATCTTCACCTCTCTTGGAAGCAAAAGTATCTTTGAATTAGAAAATTTAGTTACATTTATTATTCTCTTAAGATTCATTGATATTGGTGATATCTTAAGTAGCTTTGATTGTTTGGGTTTTTAC